CTTCAACTGTCATAAATTTTGTGTTTTGGAGAGAAAAGAAGCAATTTTTTCCCAGCTGTATTTACATATGCAAGCAACACTATCAAAATAAACATGTATCATGGGCCTTTCATCAGAAATGACTATTTTTCCCTCCAACTATCTTCTGCACTTATCTGTTGAATTTTCAGTTAGTGTAACGCAACGTTGTGGAAGAAAGATGCACAGTCTTCACAGCAGCTTCTTCTAAAGGGATGTCCAGTCATTTTTAATAAACCAGATTCTCTTCCAGAAATACACAAAGCTATTTTCAAGATATAAAAAGAATTGATTTGGGAATCTAGCCTCCTATATCCCTCTGGCTTTTCAGAAATAGGACTTGACCACTTTTTAAAGTGTTACATATATGAAAATTGCTTTAAAATTCTGATCTGGGGGGGGACCATTCTAAGCAAGAAGGAGTTTAAGGGGATTAAAACTTAACTAGTTAAATGTCACTAAAGTAGAAATCTGTACTACTAGCTTTGCTTAACAGCAAAGCAGCTCTGTTCTGAGCTGTCCAAGAGCAGGTATTTTCTTCCATCCTGTTTCTCAATACAGAAGAGTTCTCAGAACATGCAACATGTCTTTGGCATCATGTCAAAATGTCAAAAATGGAGACCTAACTGTAACTCCTAGTTTTGAGTTGAAAAAGATGAAAAATTGCAGGCCCTATAAAAAGGTACCAAGACATCTGTAAGCACCTGTATGAAATGGCAAGATAGCCTTTTGAGCATTGCAGTCTCCTCTCTTGTCACCAGGTTGCTAATGGTATATGTACTCATGCAAGTGAAGACAAAATTGGAGTAACATGTTTCAATTACCTGTGAACTACTGCAGCTTTACTCTAACTCTCCTGACTTAAATGAAAACAAACTAAAAACCTCTAAATACTGTACTGTGCAGTACAATATTGATATGGGGAATAAATTACAGTAAGTACCACAGTAACCTTACTGATCTCTCTGTATTACACAGTTGCAAAGCTACTTGTTGGTTGAACAGCTTATCCCACGTAATGCTACAAACGAAAAAAAATATATTTATCATACAGCTTAGTGGAACCATTTTCAATTTTATTTTTACATTGCAACAGATTTTGGTATTATTTTTCTTATGACTTCTTTTATAAACCACAATATATCCTAATACATTCCAGAAACCTGAAAAATGATCAAACAGTTTTTTCTCTGAATAGTAATTTTTCACCTATCAATGCACAAACAACTATGCCTGATAAGCTTTTTGTTTCTCTCAAGGTTTGTAACAAGTACTACTACCCTCATGTATTAGACAGCTGGAAATTTAATTATTCTTAATTTTTAACCTTTCTTTACATCTAGTTCATGTTTGTTAGGATGACTAAAGAGTGCAGTGCAAGCTCATTAATGAGAAAACAACCAACATTTTGCAATCTGAGAGGCGGTAAAAACTGTTTATTACAAGGCTGAAGAAATGAAGCAATTTATTCACTGGCTATTATGACCGTATGTAGGGGTGGTTTATTTACGACGTGAATTAATGGGTACCGTATGAGGAGCCTGTATCTCCCAGCTGTGCTGCCCTGTGCTGCCGATGGAGCTCTCGAGGGCCACGCTCATCATTGTGTAACTCTGATCAGCTTTCGCACGGTCACCCTCCTAGATCTATTACGGTGCTAATGGAGTTTTATTTAATGTGGAAATGACACGTCATTTTTTATGGGTTTCACAACTCCCAGGCCATTTGGCCAAATGACCGTCATGCACGGCAACAGCTATTACATCACAGCCTTACAAAACTGGGAGTGCGTTGGGTGTGTGTGGGGTGTACAAACTTGCAACATGCAGAGCACCTTTAGGACATGTGAACGAAATGTAACTCCTTGGAAAAGCACAAACATCAAGACAAGCTTTGGGAATAGGAAGTTCAAAAAGATAAACTCTATTTTTCCCTCCAGAAATGTGCATATCCTTTTTCTTTGCTGATGCAGGTATTTTTTTTCTCCCGCCATACTTTTCCTTTCTGTAACAGCTGGGTTCCCACAGAGACATGAGGCAAATCAGACAGGACTGGGCGAGTATTGTTTTCCCGCCTTTAACACACAATTCTGGAAGGAACAAATGAAAAGTTGGTCCTTGCACCATCTGTGGAGCTTCCGAGTGTGTGTGTCCCCCCTTCAAAGCAGGGCTGCTGTTCATGTGGTGTCAGAGCCTCATGCTCCCCAAGCAGCGTTGGGTCTTGTAACATTTCTAAAACAGCGGTGTCAGTACATTAAGTGTCCAATCCTACTTCCACTGAGGTCTGTGGCGGTCTTTTGCATTAATCTCAGTTAAGCTTGGACCAGGCCTTAATGTAGCAACATTATCCTATGAGGGATCTCTGAGGAGAGATCCGAAAATGAAAAAAACCCTAGTTCTACTGTGATTATTTTTTTGCATTATTAAGTCTATGAGCAGGCTCTTCACTGAAGGCTTTTAATCTTCTGTGTAGGTACAAAATAGCAATATATATCTATAAACATAGATGACTTGATAAATTAAGATATCTACCTTCTGAGGACTCTCTAATCAGCAATCTACTTTGAAAAATACAGTACAATATTTCCAAACTGTAAGAAAACAGATTTCCCAAAGTTTACTACAAAATGGAAAGCACTGTCACTTCAAAATTTGTCTCAAGACCCTTGTTCTCCCTCTCGCATTTCCTTCCCAAATATAGTACTGCCTATAAGGGTATGTCAGAGCTCATAAGAGTACAAGGGAGAACTAAAGATGCTCCTAAAAACTACCCCCACCATTTTTAGCACCACCTGCATCTTGATTAAATTCCTTTATTGCACTGTTAATTCAGGCACTATCCTGGATAGCTGTCTGCCCTGCTAAAAAATATTAAGACTTATAAAAAATATAGTATTGCATTGCTGTTGGCTGTGTAGCTATGGAAGTATGTTGTGCCTATATTGAAAATATGTCTTCAGTTCTAAGAAGATACTCCTTGCCACGGTCTGAAAATGCTACCTCTGTCGAGATAGAATATTTCAGTATAAATGTTTGTTTGGGAAAAATATCAACTATGGCATTTCAGCAAGGAGTGAACAAAGTCATCAGTGTTCATCAAGAAATTAATAAAATCTCTTCCATGGTCACAGGTAAAGAGGAGACCTAAACTTTCAGCAGAGGATTGAGACACAAGACTTTGTCACTCTCATAAATAAATAGCATCCCCACAGTGAAACAGTTAGTGCTATGGTGCATCAGCCTAATAAGGTTGCCTGAGAAACAGTCTGAATAAAAAGTTGACACTGCTTCACTGAAATCACTGACAATAACTATGGTGAGTTCACCGGACCAGAGCAGATTCTTGGTGAGAAGTAGATTTCTGTATAAAATCTCTTCCCAAGGCCACAGGAGGAAGAAACAAATGAACTCAATCTAGTTGGTGCATGAAATGCCTTTTTGATGTTTCTTTCTCAAGAATAAAGCCAAGACCTTCATGGTGGGACTTCTCCGTATAACACTGTAGGACCTTTCAGATCTGAGAGTGAAGTGGTCCCCTAAAACATGCTCCTGAAACACGAAGACCCTATATAAGAATTATAAGCTTTCGGCAAAGAATTCTCCCACATTTCTGAATTTGGAACAAAACTGCTGCAGAGCAGCTTGCAGCTAAATGGTTATGACATTCTTCTGAGACAAAGTCCATATCCAGGAGGGTGTGAGCCAGCTGGATGTTCTGGCTGCACACTGCAGATGAGAAGTGGATGCCATGCTGCTGCCCAAACACATCACCTGCCTGTCTTTTCTGTAATCTCCAACTTGGCATGGTCACTTAATATCAGGAAATTTTTTATGACTGAGAGGCTCAGATGAACAAAAACATGTCCCTTAGACTGTAGTTAGGTGCCTAAATACCTTCATTAAGGTAAAACATTTGCCTACTATCACCTTTCACTGATACTTTCTTCACGTGTCTCATTTTTAGATGCCTAATTACTCCTGGCCTTGTAATACTCATAAGGCAGCACTGTAGGGTTGAGCTTGCAATCTCCCTCATATGCCTAGTGTAAGCAGTTGCAACCTTATTTAAAAAATACAGGTTATTAAAGGCAAAGTTGCAATTATATCTGGCAACATTTAAAACAGACTGTTGCAATTGAGACTCAAAAACTTACCTGAGAAATGGAAGTCCACAGGCAATTTTTTACAGAATACTGGCACGTTATACAAATGTAATCAACCCATTGAAATTTAAAGTAGTTGTAAGCTATGTTCAAGGCACCTTTTTATAAACAGTTTTTTTAATGTTCATTCTACATTCACACTAGTTTAACCATGTAAACAGGTCTGTGAAAGCTTAGATTAAGGTCACTTTAAGATCTGTGTGCCAAATACTTCAGAAAAATATCATATTACATGGAAAATTCAATAAAGATAGATAGATCCATCTGCTGCCTAAACAGTTCAATAGATGCTATGGGGTAAATTATTAATAAGATGAAGCCTAAAAGAGGTTTTCAAAAATTAGTTTAAAGATAAGTAACATGCAATGCATTAACATTTATGTTTATCATTTGAAAGTGTACATAAATGCTGAAAAAATGCAAGCCACTATTCCTAGTGCTATTCTATTTTTAAAGGGCAAATCTTTGGAAACAGTATTATTTGAGGTTTTAAAACATCCTCCATCTTATTTTCACCACACTTAATCTTACAATATGCTAATATGTACTTTCTTCACAAGGAAAAGGTATAAAATTAATCTTACAATATAAACACTATAAACAACTCCCTTGAGACATCTTCTGGACACAGAATTTCTGTAAAGGATTAAGTATAACAATTCTAGGATAATTATGTAAAAATATGTACATTCATTCCAATGTCCTAGACCCAAGAAGAAACCCAAGTAAGCTCTACAAAAGTTGCCCATCAGTCTTGTCCAGTTAAGATTATGTCCAGCTTTGCTACTCTTGCTGTATTTCAACATAATCAACAAAAGTTTTACTTGCTTTTGTGTAGGAAGTTCCCAAACTTTTGCATAAATCCTCTCAGCTTATTTTCATTAGGCTGCAACGGATGGTAAGCAGTTGAGTTGTAGCTGACCATGTGGTTACTCCTGCCGTAATTATTTCCTAAGGTCTTGCTTTTGATATCGGAGAGATGTGAACTGCTGTTGGTGGCATTTCCTGCAGGTTGGCTAGCATTTTCCATCTTACAGAATGGCTCAAAGCGACTATAAACACGCCTTTCACTCAAACGAGATCTTAGCTCCTCTTGGCGTTTTGAGCTTGCCAGCTGTGGTGTCATTGAACTTGTTCTTTGAAGAGCAGAAACAGGGGCACTTTCGGGAGCCGTATTTGTAGTGATTTCCTTTACATCTTGATACTGAATCTGCTCTGTATTAAATCTTGGCGTAGATGCATCTCCTGCAGTTTCTATGAACTTACTTTCAAGGGGGCACAAGAGAGGACACTTTTTATTGCTTTCATCAGATGGAGGTTTTTGAGATTTTGGTGACTTTGGAGACTTTGTTGGGCTCCCAGTGACATCTTCTTTACTTCTGTTCAAGCTACCTTGAGAATTTGATGATGTGTTTCTCTTCCGCCTTGGGGAAGAATCTGTCTTATTCTCAGAAATCTTTGGTTTTTGATTCTCTTCTTCAGAAACCAATGTGTCAGAACTACTACACATTCTGTAAAAGGCAGGACCTTTGTTTTTTGACAAGTTTTCCTTCTTGTCTGGTGTGAGATTAAGAAGTGACCGCAACTTCTGGGATCCTTTCTTTAGAAAACTTGGGGAATTCTTACTTTCTTTCTTTGATGTGCAATCCTTACTAGACTCCTCCTTGCTAGCTTCAGTGAGAGCAGCCATAGAGATTGCCTTGCTAGCAGTTGGGCTCTTTAGCTCTCCTTTGAGGTTCTTTTCCTCCTGTGGCAAGTGGTTGGTCACACTGTGCAAACTTTTAGAGCTCTTCAGTGTGTCTTCTGGAAGTTTTGGACTAACTGGCTGCTTAAGTCTATGCCTCGTCAATGTGCTGTAAACGTAATCAGATGCATGTTTGTTGGCACCAGGGTCTAATATGGACTTTGAATTAAACATGGGAAAACTTCTCCTTTTCAGCATATTTTCATTTTGAAGGTTCTTTGAATTTTCTGCATGTTTGTCTGTACACAGTGTTGTGTACAAGTAGAGCGATGAGTCACCCATTGCATTTGAATTTACACTAGGTTTCATGTTGTCTGCAATATGAACTCCAAGTTTTTTTGGAGCATCTGATTTAAGTGGGATGTTTGTGCTAAGCTCTTCTAAAGTACTATCTGTTCCATTTTCCACACTTGGAGCATGATTAGATGTCCCTTTAGGTGTTGCACTTCCCTCTGACCCAATTATAGTTGAATTTGAAGAACTTGCACAGCTGCTTACTTCCTGTTGTTCAGGTAAAGTTGGTTGAAACACCAACGATGATCGTAGGCGAGAATGAGAATACAGTGCATGAGCTTTAATATTTTCAGCTGTGTCATAGTTATCATATCTGTCACCCAAGGCCGACCCATTAGACTCTACTGGATAATCTGATTGATCATTCAAATATGACTTAATTCGCCAGTTACGTAGGAATGATTTTGTTGTGTGTTCGAGGGTTGGCATCCTTTGCTGCAGATGTCGGATATGATTATCTGTACCATTAAAAGACCTCCGTACAATTGAATTTCTTTCTGCAAGATTTACCTTTGGTCGTGAAAACTGATCGGCAAAACTTTGCTGGGGTATGTTGTAGTTATTTTCATATCCTCCTCGTAACGAAGAAACAATACTAAGACTATCAGATGGCATTTTCCAAGTATTTGATGGATTGTTGGCTCTATTAATCACTCTGTTGAGCAATAGGTAAGGTGTCCTTTCTGGCTTCTCCCCAGCATAACTATGTCTCTTCCAGTGTTCATTTTTTTCACTAGGTTGACACTGCTGGATTGGATTTTGCATATTAAAACCTGGATGAAATGGTTGTTTATTATAGGCTTGGTTTCTCAAGACATATTTATCTATTTCATTTACTGCATATCTTCCACGAACTTTCCAACAAACAGGATCTATCTTGTGAACCTTGTCTTGCCTACCAAAAAGGTTTCTTTGGCTAGAAACTGAAGCCAAGGAAGAAACTGAGTGTTGGTATGTATCATTATCCCAGAGTGTCCTGCGACTGTTTACCCGCACCAACTCTGGGGCAAATGAACTAGGAACAGAAGAACGGGCGTACAGTGTCCTGAACTCTTCATCAAAGGATTCAACCAGCTGTCCTGTGATAACTTGAACCATACTGAGGTTGGTTTTTTCAAATGACCACATAAAGCTGAAAGAAGAACAAATGACCATTAGAAACAGTTCTTTTGAACTAAAGTATTACACTGGTCCTTCTTGATAAGAAAGTGTTCACACAAATCTGGGTTTTGTACAAATACTTTCTAAATAAATAAATAAATTGTGGGCATGATTCATGTAATTTGGATTTAGACCCACTGTATTTACTTTGAGTCAGAGAACGTTAATGCGTGGTTCTGCTGTGAATAAAATACATTTGAAATAACATGCAGAACTGCCTCAACAGTTCTGAATACACGTCACTTTAAACACATTTTCAAAAAGATGCACCTCAGAATTGTTAAAAAGTTTACATTTTCTACTATGCACACCAGATTGGATACGAACATTTCTTTTAAATGCAATGATGATATTCTGACAAAGGAAATTTTCCTCTTTTCTATTGTACTTAGAAAAGCTGAACACATGCTCAAAGCTAAGTAGCTATAGCTACTTTACAGCTACAAAATGAGACAAAATACATTAACATATACATTAAGGATGTTTCAACAAGACTAATACAATGGTGTCAAAAGCATGCAATTTGTAGATTACAACAAAGAAAAAATCTGTTTTGCAATCCTATTTTCATGAAAAAAAAGTGAAAAAAATTAAATTAAAACAAGGAACTTGTTTTATTTGTGTGTTTGTCTTCTGGATGTTAGAAAACAAGTGTGTTGTATTCACAAAAATACCTTGCTGATTTAATTTTATTTGTTTTGTTAGTTTTGTATTTTTCAGGAAATAATAGTGTACTGAGATTAAATCCAATCATGCTGCATAAGTTTTTTCTATTAATTTTCACTATTAAGAACAGTATATTTTGTAATATTTGAAAAAATCCTAAACTTTTAATTTTCAGAGAGCAAGAACTCAGAAAGACTCATCTTTTCTGTTATAAATCACTAGATTCTTTTACAAAGCAAGCTTAATTTCTACAGAAATTGATCATTAACCCTGTGGTGCTAGGTCTTAAAGCAGTGTTATTTTTCAAAATGAAACGAGAAAAACTATCACATTCTCACAGACTCTAACACTGTGTGTAGATGTCAAAGGAGGTAGACTCTCCCTGGACTCTATTACACTGATTAATTTATGAACTTTTCACTTACCTCACTACCATTTATATTCATCAGTCTGAATTTGGGGCTGGCCGAGTCTCAGAGGAAATAAAAAGCCAGGTTTTTGAAAGCTTACAGTGGTGGAAATCTATGAAAGTCAGTGGCTGTGGATCTGGCACCCAGGCACTATGCTGGCAGAAACTAATTCAGTAGGCCAAAGGAGAGAAGTGTAGCATGAAAAGAAGGAAAATATTTAATAGTGTGTGAGATAAAACTGTCCCTGCTTTAACTTAGGTTTTTTCCAGCTCTGTCTGCAAAGCTGTAAGTTCTTCCACCCCATGCTTTGCACACATACACTGGAAATAAAATGGAAAGTAGAATAAAGAAACTTAGCCAAATACAGAGACTATGTCAACTTGGGCAATTCTGAATTTGACCACGATACACTACCAAGTGCCACAGAACAGAAATGTTAGCTTTAGAAGATTATTAGGAGGAGGAACTATCCAAGAGAGCTTATGAAATAATTCTGGCAGCCTTTTCTGGAGTGAATGTTAAATAAGAATAATTCAGACAATATAAGAGAAATCAGAATTTTTGTCTCTTTTTAGCAAGTCTCCAGCTGTAGCAAAAGTTATATGCTTTATTTCTTATTTGTGAAAAACTAACAGAGGATCTCAAAATTTGGCTCCATGTTACACTAGTTAGCAATAAGTATCTATGACAACTTGTTAAATGCCAGAAAACATAATCGAATTTGCCCATGGAGTTCTCTGGGAGAATTTTCAGAAACAGAAAAAACCCAAATTTGTAATAGGAGAGGTACTGAGACGACAGGTTTTCTATGGACACCTCAGTGACTGATCTTACCTGTAAGAACCATACATGACTTTCTTACAGTCAACAAGAATAAATTTTTGTTCCATTTTTCCATGGAATTTTGCTCCTGTTTTAGAATAGTAATCTTGTCCTCTTACTGTCCGCACCCTCATGTTCTGAAAAAGACAATTGAAATACTTCAGTTGGTATACTATACTTCATACTTAGCATCCAGAGGCTTAAAAGTCAGAGGTACAGTAGGAGAAGAGTTATATTATTGCATATTAATAAACTCTGCAGGGAAGTAAACTCTGATCAAACTCGTCCCCTAGGGACCCAAAATAGTAAGTTATTACTTTGTCTTCAAGACTGATGAGATCCCCTAGGCCACAGAGAATGAAATTCTGCTTTTCTGTAGTCACCACTCCCAGAAATGAGGTTCTAGCACAAGAAGTCTTTGACAAGAGAAAGAGTTTTTCTACTGTAAAAAAATATTATTTTCATCACCTGATCTACAATATTTAGAAGACTTCCAAGCATCTCAGCTACTAGAGATAACATCTAAAGACCCAGGATCGCTTTTCAGATACCCCACTCTGAGATGACTGGTATCACCTGGTGCCAGAATCCCTTGCAGTTTTACCATCAGTGAGATTTCTCAATCAGCTTTGCACCATAGGATCAACCACATTTTAAATTCAGAGATGCTATCACAACCTGCATAGGTAGCACAAACTCTATGCAGCAGTTAAGTTTGATTTCTATTAAGAAGCTTTATGTTTTACTCATGCAAACCCAGTAAATTGCACTTGGGAAATTTTTCACATTGGATCTCAAAAATGTGCTCAATTTTTCTCCCAGACTGTGGACGAAATTGATGCATCTAAGCCAGTGTTTTTGGTTTGTTTTTTTTTTTTTTTCCCCCTCTCTACTGCCACTTGTTTTTTTAAGCTCCTAGAAATAACAATTCAAAAGAAGTGTTACAACATCTTCTGGACTGTACTAATAATAGTTATCAAAATGTTCTTGAATGTAGATGTAGG